GCCACGAAGAACCGCTACTGCTTTGATATGTTCTATAGTTCAGATCTATCCTCATCTTTTTTAGATTTTTGAGTGGTTTGACTCAATCACGCCGACAGGAACTTACGTCGATTGATGACTGACGTTGAGCTGGGTCGGGATCCGGCCATGAAGCATCACGGGCACAAGCCACTTGGATGACAGATGTGTGTGCGTACATCCAGCGGGACACCGACCCGGACACTGCTCATTGGGCTGTTGAAGGTACTGTAACTGCGGTCCATGATGAAAACCGTGCGTGATGCTTAGGACTTAAGGCCAAAGCATAAGTTGAACTGACAGAAAACCTTTTCCAAGGATGGTGTGCGACCAGCCGCTTTGTCGCACTAACGATAGTTAGCAGTTGTTTCTGCTTTGGAGAATTGAGGGTGGCGTGGCGTGAGAGAGAGACAGAGAGAGACGGGGTCTGGGTGCAGGGCCGGGCCCTGAGGGGGGTAGTAGTACCCCCTTTCACCCTCAAAGAAACAAAGAAAGAAAGAGAGGGAATGTCAGTCTCACAGCCAGCTGAAGTGAGGGGTAGCACAATCAGGGGGCAGCAAGAGGGAAGGACCTATTGCTTTAGCTAGTGGCTGCGACCCGACTGTGTACTCTGGCCTTGCTGGTACCTACCTGGACTTGACCGCTCGCTCCTCGGGGCTCGGAGCTGTGCTCCGGCTCGCCTGCCATGGCATACAACATCGTGATACCAGCCATGCAGGCTTTCGCAATGGTTGGGCAACCTCAATGGTTCCCCCTAATGTTGTAGTCATAGCAGTCATGGGACCTGAAACTCAGCACCCAATCATGTAAGACCCAGAGGGGTAGAAACCGACCAAACAGTCCAACAAGGGCTGGGCACAGAAGCCCGGGGGAGACCATTAGGTCTCCTCCATAGCCCGAATCAAAGAAAGAAGGGGTTACGCTGAGCTTATATGTTATCTGTGTGCTCTTTGGATGTGACTTAGTAACGAAGCTCGGCGGTGCGCGTGAAGTGCAGTTTTTTCACCACCCAGTGGAGAAGGAGAGAGGGGCGTAGTCGAGCCGTCAATGCGTGGGAGCTGTTGCTGTGCGCTGAGTGTCCTGATATGCTGTTGGAATGTTGATGGTGGACTATGGTTGAGAAGGGAGGAAGGCTATAGCGGATTCCCTGAAGCTGCTCTGTATGTTGGTGTCATGGAAATTGTTTCAGTCTGCTTGATGTATGTGTGGGTTGGGAATCGGCTGTTTCTGTTACTCCGGTCCTCCCCGCAGCTTCTCTTCGGGGGGGTAGAGTTGTGAGAAGACGAAGAAGAAGAGAGAGGTGGAGTGGGTATTTCCGGCCACAGCACAGAGCCTCCCAACCTGTTTAGGGTCCCCGTTGTACTCGGTTTTGGCGCTGTCTCAGTTGTTGTCCAAACTGTCAGGTGGTTTGTTGGTTGCAAGTTTGAATGAAGCGGGGCGAAGTGATCGCCGCGCCATGTGCGCGTGGCTTTGGCTTGCAGGGGGCAAGGTGGCCTGTCCTCTCAGTACACCAGGGAAGCATGCTTGGCTTTCAGGGGCGGCATTACTGTAGTGACTACCTAGGCGTGGTTTCAGGGGATCCGTTTACCAGGTCTCATGAGGGCATGCGTCTAGGGCGCGGGAAGGTAGAGCAGTTTCACGCTTCCCTGGAGCAAAAGAGCAGAAATGGGGACCACATCAGCGGGGGTTTAGGGAGCTAGCTTGGGTCTATGCTTTGATTGCGGATGCGGAGCCTGTTTGTTCGGTGACATCTGACAAGTCGAGGAGTACGAGAACGACCTCGCAGCCCAGGAACAGGAGGATACAGCACACTATGACTTTACGCATGAGATGGACGCTGAAGACAGCAATGCCGAACATGTGATTTGGGAGCCGGGCGTAAAGGGAGCAGCTGAGCCGGAACCGCCGAAAGAACCAGACCTTGACGAAGATCACGCAGTGGGTAAAGATCGTGTGGAGAAACCATGAGCTCAAGCAACGAGCTCAACCCAAAGTTCTGTACAAATTCAATTCGGAACCACAACGAACAGTCCTCTACAATGTCCGGAGCCATGCGAAATAGGCGAGCACGACCCCAGTACAGGAACTAGCTGAGAAAGAGCTAGCGCAACGGAGCTTAAACGGGTTTCACTTTCGGAGGTATCTAAGCGCCGGAACCAGTGATATGTTGATGTTATTTTCTTTCCATTGCATTGGTGATGTCACTGTCCTAGTGTGTAGCCGGCGTCTAATGGAACTTACATCCTAAAATCCATCCTGATGCTTCATCTTTCAACTGCTTGTCCTATGCGTTGGGAAGTGTGTATGTTTGATACTTTGCATGCCGACCTCCAGAACATGGTATAGAATAAGGATCAGGAACCACAAAGTTTCACACCAAACCACTCGAAACAAGAACGTTGGGACATTACCGAGACCATGCAAATTCGCAACACCCGCAACAAGGGAATGGGGGTAGCTGAGGGGGGTACTAGGGGATGGTTCCTTGTTGCAGGAAGCGGGAAATTACAGGTTGAAGACGATATAGAGGTGAAGGCACCAAAGGTCAGTTTGCAAAGTGGTAGATGGAAATTCGAAACATGGAGAATCCACAATGCATAATAAGTGGAAATGTTGATTGAAATGTGTACAAAGGATCCAAGGATGTCGGCTGTTCAGCGTAGGTTTTACGGCAATTTCTCCAGAGCAGTGAGATGCAAGGAGCATGTGGAGATCAAGGGGATGATTGACGCATGGGGGGGAGAAGATCTCCCGATGCTAACCTTTCCTCGGCTCAGATTACCGACCCTTTTCCCGGGAATGAGAAGCGCAAAGGATGGGTTCTGGGCTTGGGGGGGGTAGAAGAAGAACGGGACCGTAACAAAATCCAGTGAACGCGACACTCGACCCAACATATGACCGCGGACCATCGGGCTGGAGGTTCGCCTCCGCGACACCTCCGGGTGTCGCATAGCCTATAGAAGAAGAAGAAGAGGGAGAGACCGCAGTTGTGAGGAGAAGAAGCAGAAGAGAAAGAGACATGTTTGTATACCCGACGCTAGGTTGTTGAAAGATGTTAGGCGAAGAAGGTGATGCCTGCTCGTGCTGAAAGCTCCGTGTCACAGCTCAATGGAGAAGGGAAGAGGCGTGCTCTCGAGCCTGAGTATGATGGGTATGTCACTTGACGGATTGTAATTTAGAGGGTGGTTCCGGCATTGGAACATGCGATCCTCCGGCCCTCGTAAACACCGACGTTCCTACTGATTGCTGGGCTGGGGATTTGTTGCCGCGCGCTCCGTGAGGGGTGTGCAGAGCCCATAGAGGAAGAAGAAGAAGAAGAAAGAAACGAAGAAAGAGAGAGAGAGAGAGAGGGAGAAGCCCTTTTCGCCAGTAGCGCGAGAGAAGGAGCAACGTCCCCATTTTGGCACCTGTGCATGCCAGGCCGAATGCAGGGAATTTCAGTCCGTAGTGGGGAGTTCTTGGAGTGGCCTTGCCTCATCTTGTTGGTGGAGGGAGTGGAACCTTGCGCACGGCAGCATGTAACCCGACGGGCAGTCACGTGCAGCACCAGCAGCCGAGCATCCTGCATGTTGAAGCCGTTGTGACGTTATGCTAGTATATTTTTGACCTTTGGTTTGTCTCGTGAAGTATAGCTCGCTCTGTTGGACTGCAGCACTGCGGGGAAATCAGTTTCACATCCAGCTCAAGTGAGGGGTATCGCAATCAGGGAGCAGCGGGAGGGGGGGGGAGGACTTGTATGGTATCGTGTCAGTTTGACGTCTGCAACCTGACTGTGTACTCTGGCCTTGCTGGTACCGACCTGGACTTGACCGCTCGCTTCTCGGGGCTCGGAGCTGTGCTCCGGCTCGCTGGTCAGGGGTGAGCGTAGCCCGAAGAAGAAGAAGCCTAGAAGAAGAAGAGAAGCTATCCCGACCGGGGTGGTGCTTGCTCCCGGGAGGGGTAACTTTCTCATCCCCCAAGCGAAGCAAATCGAAGGGGTATGGCGTACGTGATGCCTAACTTAACTTACTTCGAAAGCCGGCACCGTCAGGTTTGACCGGCTTTACGGCTGGTTCAAGGATGCTGGAGATAAAGAGGTGGCCAAGGAGATGCCGTTGCTTGTCAATCCTTGCGTTTCACATATTACAGCTGTCGCAGTTCAAGTTGTTACAGCTAGCCCATGGGCTCACGAATCTCGCGCACCTGCAGGAACAGCAAGGTCCCGCTTTTGTCCGCTACGACCCCGCCAAGCCCGTTATGGCAGGATCGACAAGAGGAATACCAAAGACGTCTGACACTATGCGACTTGCCCGCGCTAGCTGTGAAGCTGTTACGGTAGCCTTGCCAAGCTACTGGTATGATGGAAGCCCATAATGCTCCATTGTAAGCCCTAATTGCAAACGTTTTTGCAAGGTTCGCGCGGGATCGACGTTAAATATGGCTGACGCCGTATCCATGGAACGAAATAGAGGACAAGATCTGCAAGCAGCCTCTCTTGAGCAGAGCCCGAAAGCGCTCACGACTTGGTCCAACAGATGTACTACTAGTGAAGATGTGAGGTAGACATTTTTTTGCCGGCAATCTGCAGACGCTCCAAATGAGGTCGTGGCATACCTAAAGCAGGGCTCCATGGAGAAGAAAAACTAGAGCCAGCCCCACACTGCCACCGCATAGCCGACGGTTGACCTGATGACACGTCAGGAGCTGTGGATCTATCGCAATGATCTGTCAGGGTGTATTATGCTTTCTGACAGGGCGGGAGGCAGACTGGAGCGCGATTCCTGGCCAAGCCAGCAGTGTTCCACTGCCATTTGGCCCTTGTGGAGGAAAGTCCCCCCTTCCGAAATCCGAAGTCCTGATATTGGACTTTCCTCTGGTTATGGCTGTAGCCAACCGGCCTGCAAAGTTGAATGTTGGGAAATGTTGGGAACCTGGCGCTGTGGTGATTTGCAAGCCTGGTTTTCGCTTGTTCTCTGATGGTGCTCTCTGCAGCCCTTAAAGGTCAGCTGTTGGAACATCTTGTATTCTGCAGATCCGGCCTCATGTCAGCCTGAGCGCGTTGATGCATAAAAGACCTTGCCATGGTGGACCATGCTAGGAGTGCTGGAGGTGAGCTGTTGGTGAAGCTTTGGTTTTGCAGGTCGTGGATGTTTTCGCGCCAGAGCAGGGCCAGGACTTTGTGTTTGCAATGCTCTGGCAGAAGCGCAGGTCTGTTTTCACGGAGTCTTCCACAATCTTCCTTCTGGCTCGGAGACGTGCCCATAAACGGGCCAGGGATGCTGACACGAGAAGGAATGGGAACTACAGCTGCAAATAGAGGTCTTGTAGTTTCATTTGGGGGTCTCAACAGCAACATGTCTTAAGAAGTGGTGGCAGTGGCGACAAAACACGTCATCCCAGCCTTGGTAGCCTGGTAGCCGCTTGGCGCATGGTGTTCCAGGTGCAGGCCCAGTGACCGATAAGTTGACCGCATGCGCGGGGTCCGCTGAGAGGGGACTGACCCCGAAAGGCATGTTGCGACTGAGGGGAAGTGGTGCACGTAAACGGACATGAAATGGAAGGGAAGGATGGGGAGGGGGGCAGTGTCGAAAGAAGTCTACCTCTACTCCTTTGCTCTGGTCGGGCCTGAATCCCTCTGTGCTGCGTGGGAGGGCTTCCTCGAGACGCTTCTGGAACCTACGGAAAGATCCAAGTGAGGAGACTTCCATGCTACTGAAGTTTGCAGTTGGTCCAGGTCATCCGTGTCGACCTTGAGCTGAGATCGCGACTCGGACAGGTGCATCCTGCAAACTTTCGGGCCTTTTGGTAGAGAGGCGGATGTGTAGCTGCTTCAGAGGTCCTGCAAGTAAGCCTGGAAAAAGGATCCCGCTAAGCAAGGGCATACTGTACCAAGTAAGGATTTCAGTTTGAAAACATCAATCCCGAAGCCCCAAGCTGCTCTCAAGCAGTTCCAAAACCTCACCCTCCAAATGCAAATCCTGTTTAAACCTCCACACACCTCGAGCTCTCGCGATTGCCATGCACACATGCGCAGGGCATCCATGCAGGCATCGTTGAGCTCACCATTTCCCAGCAAGCAGCTTACGGCTCTTTACCGTCAATCAGGTGCAAGCTGATTAGCACTGCAATGCAGGGCAGCTGATAGGTTTGACAAGAGTTGCAGAAAGACCAAGCATACATGGTACAAGGCTCCGTGCACAACTTACTTGCTGTAGCAAGGTCACAAAGCCTCCCAGGCCGTCCCAGACATAGATGACAGGCAGGACAGGACTGACCTAACCGTAGAGTGTTTGTGCTTGATGGAACTCCAGATGCCTCCAGGCATGAATGCGATGATTTGCATGCAGGGTGGTGGCCCATTTGGGACCCCTGCTGGCAAGCTCAATGCATGGCAAAGCAGCGCGACCACCTGAGCACCGTACAAGCTCCGGTTCCATGCAGCAGCGGTTGTGATGTTGTGTGGCTACTTGTTCACTTGCTGCTCTTCACCCTGCTTTCGATTGCACAAATCCTCCATGGATCGCTTTCACAGCCAAGGTTTCGTAATTCTTCAAACTCAACCCAGCAGAGAGTTTGTTCGGTCTGTATTTGCTTAGAGGGGCTGTTTGCTTCGAAGTTCAAAATGCCGAACCGCAGGACATGAGACGGCCTTTTCTGCCTTTAAATATGCTCTGCGGGCAGGCCGTTCCCTTCGTGGCAAGTCATCGTTGATTCCGTGTCACATTCTGCGTTCATCTCCAAAGCTTGCTCAATGGCACTGCAGCTGACAGCGAATACGTTGCAGTTCACGGACAGGTGTAGATAAGCAGATGGCCCACTCGGATCAAACCAGGAGAACATAAGGTCGAGTCAGCTTACTGCCGAGGTACTGGGGACACAGAGCCAGTTTGCCACCTTTGCGGAGCATGCGTGGAGCAAGTTTAGTGCATGCTCCTCAGCTGCCGCACATTATGCAATGTGAAATGCAAGGCTCCGTGTCAAGATTCTAAGCTCGGGCGACCCAAGATTACCTTTTCTTGTTGGTGCACATGCCTCTGGCAGAAATGGGAAGTTTTTTCTGGGTCTCACAGGTAGAGGAGGAGATCGACAGGAAGGCACCAGGAAAGAAGGAAAGAAGAAATAAAGCAAGGCAGGCGATGCAACAAAGAAACATGTAGAAGACTGCAAGAAGAAGAAAGATAGAGAGGCCGGACGGAAACCGATTGCTATGGTTACACGTGGTGGTGGCGGTGGCGGTGGCAGTGGCGGTGGCGGTGGCGGCGGCGGCGGTGGTGGCGCTGGCGGCGGCGGCGGTGGTGCTGGCGGCGGTGGCGGTGGTCGTCATAGAAGTAATCATACTTGGTAGCTGGTAGTAGCCCGCAGCTATAACAATTTTCGTATGCGCCCGCAGATAGAAAAAAAGAAAAACTCTGATTGCCAGGTTCCCCAAAAGCTCCAATTTCCCAAATTCCAGAAGGGCAGATGGAACCATTTCTCGAGCACCGCAGATGGAAACATTTTCCTACACGCACTGTACATAACAACATGTTGGGGCAACTGGGATCACAGCCACCAAGGAAATGCACGTACCAATGTAGATTTCTTGTCCCTTTCATTGAGTTTTGTGTGGTGCCACAAGGGTTCTAGTGGGGTTTCATAAGGCTTGATGCGGTTTGTTGGGGACGGACAGGATTTGGTAAGGCTTCAAAGAGCCTTATAGAGTTTTAGAGTATCTTGTGGCGATTGAACAAGTCGAGCAGCAAAAAAGGGTATCTTGTGGGGTCTTGCAAGGTTTATGTGGGCTTGTGAAGTTTCACAGGGCTTTACAGGGTTTAGGAGGTTTTCAAATTTAAAGGATGCTATAAGGTCACATAGAGTTTTGTGCCGTCTCGTGCGGCTTCTGTAAGATCTCATAAAATTTTACAAGGCTTTATGGGGCAACAAACACCGCAGCCAGAATTTTTCCCCAGCCCAGGTGTCATCCTAGACGGTCTCAGGCACAAGCTCCTGTACTTGAGCTTCATTTGTCCCCTTGCAGATGTGGCCACGGACATGCGTGCTCGTATTCTTTTAGTTGCCTTACAAATTCTATTTGTGCTTGCGGCCCCTTTTGCTTCATAAAGCCCTACAAAATTTCTGAAATCGTTTCGAAGCTCAACAAACCACACAAATCCCTAGAAAAAATTATAAACAATATAAAGTTCTATAAGACCTCATGAACCCTACCAGCTTTACAAACCCCACACCCTATAACACATACAACCTCGAACATATAGGAGGAAAGGTTCTATCTGCGACGATTCAAGCAACATTTTCGCACCGAAATTTCCATCTGCGGGGCCGGGGCTGTCGAATAATTAGTCATTGGTAGTTAGTAGCGACAGGTAGTGGTAGGCGGCCCCGCTGCGTCACAGTCCCTGTGATTTTCAGTATCCATAGGGTGTTGGAGAGGATTAGCGGGTCTACAACGAGGCGTTGTGTAGTCTAAGTGTAAGCAGGGCTTCACACGCTGCTCTGAAGGATGGATGTTCCTATGATCTGGAGAGGCTTTGGTCACCGTATACTCGGGGGGACGCTATTGTGGTTTGGGCATGGAGCTCTGGTGTTCGGATGGGCACATGAGCGCACTGAAAATCACCAGGACTATGCCGCGGCAGTGCCTAGTAGAAGTAGAAGTAGTCGTCGTCGTTCTCGTCGTTGTCGTCACACGTCTTGTTTCTGACTGTGTGTTATTTCCGAAATTTTCTGACCAATATTATTGTGTGAGTGGAGGGCGCATTTCTTTTCTTGTGTCCATCGTGCGTGGGTCTGAAGCCGGTGCTGGTACTGGTGCTTGGTGCTTGGTGCTGGTGGTGGTGGTGGCGGCGTCGGCCGTAGTAACAGGCCCGGTATCGGCACTGGTGACGGCAATCGTCCTCCTCATGTTTTTGGTTCTGGGTCGTGATTCTGGCTGTGGTTGTGGTGGTTGTTGTCATTGTTGCGTTTCGTCTTGTTCCTTGGCTTGCCAGTCGAATTCGTGCTATGTTGGTGTTGGTGTGCGGTAATACCACATCTAATATTATGACTGTTTTTTCGGTTTCGTGCTAGCATAATCCCTCTGGTTAGAGTAGTCCATTTGGTGCCACTTGTTTGTTCCTGGTGCTGTTGCCTGCAGACTGTTATATCCATGAGAACTGGTTCTGCCATCACCCGCGTCCTCCCCCGCTGAAACCAATTCAAGCCAGCTAGGCAAGTCGGCCAATCCGACCCTAGTCACTGGTCAACTATCAATCTCATGTTGCTGCGTTTTACTCTAACTGGTTTTCCATATTGCGCGGATCTATGAATGTGTGTAGTTGTTTGTTGACGTGTTTTGTTCTTTACACTTTGGCTTCCTCAGTGCTATGATCGTTGATAGCATAAGTCTCGTGCGTGCTACGGTTCATGTATCTGGTTGGCCTTGCGACCAGTCCGACGATTCCCATTCTTGTTGTTTCATTGGTGTGGTGGTGGTCCGAACGGGATGAGAGATTTCGTGCTTGTACCATTGTAGCCACCGCTATGACTTTACGATGTTTTGCGATGAGTCTTGCTAACTGTTTCTCTATAATTGCCACTCATGATGGCCATCAAGACTTCTCCCTATGCCATTCCAAAAAGTTGCGGCACAACGGTTCTGAAGTGTCTGAGCCGTTCCACATGATGCATTTTGCAGTATGCTTTCAGCCTGCAGCCGTCAAGTGTCGCCCTTTCAGCAGCATGAGATTATTGCAGTTGACTGAGCTCTGCACATTGCACTTTACATTAGCTACACGCTCTGACACGTGCTCGTTTCGCAGAATGCGTGATTCCAAAGAGCTCCGCATGCTATTTGCCACAGTCCTTACAGGCTCCCAAACACCCAGAATTCTCTCTGATGTTTCCAAGTGCTGCGTTTTGCCGCATTGTGAAAATGTAATTGCTAACGCGAGACGGCCTCGGCAAGTGTGGTCGAGGCCAGAGAGCAAGGCAGCAGCATTCCCGAGACAGCACATGCTTGCCACCCCCCCACCCCGGCTCACACCACACGTTTCCACCGGTTTCGGATCCTGCACCTCACACCCATGCCAGCCCTCACGGAACCTCGCTCACGACTGCGGGAGGGGGTAGGGGGAGTCTTTGAAGCACTGTGAATGTGCTCATGAACCCTTGATTTTTTCTCTGCACCACTGAGTATTTGGAAATGCGTGGTGCAGGCAGAGCGGACGACAAACAAAACTTTTTTGGCTCCAAGCGCAACAATGCGGAGAAGATCTACTCTATTGCAGCCACGTTCCCCAACTCTTTACAAGCTACCTCTCCGGTATCTACTGAGTCTACTGCTCTACCTCAGTGTTTAGAAGGAGTTAGAAAAGGTCATAAAGTGTCGAAAGTGGAACCATCAGTGTGCTCTGCGTTGCTTGCTTGGGGTCTTTGCTCGGGGGTTATAGTCTGACAGCTGCCCAACCCCTGAACATCCTAAAACTCCACCTACTTGCCCTTGCCAGCATACATGGCTCGGGCATGCACACATGTTGCAATTGCCTGCCCCAAGCAGGAAATGTTTTGGGGCATATCCTATCATGTTTCCCGTACGCTGTTGGCTTGGGATTGTAGGCCCATGCCTGAGCTGTGGTACCCAGGCCAGCAGACGCCTCATGTACATGGTCTTCGCCGCTTGCCGTGGGCCAGCTGCCCTGGTAACATCACTTGCAAACCTTTAAGCGAGATTTTGCTCAGCAGGTTTACAGCTAGGGGGTAGTGGTGGTGGTGGCGGCGGCTTGGCGGTGGCGGCGACGGCAGCGGTGGAGGCGTCGGCAGTGGGAGATGGGAGTAATAGGAAGTAGGGGTAGGAGGAAGTAGGAGCACGAGCAGGAGTAGGAGTACTAGTAGCAGTAGCATTCGTCGTCGTCATCGTCGTCGTCGTAGTAGTGGTGGTGGTGGCAGTGGTAGTGCAGCAGTGGTTACCTGCGCATGCCTCCTGGCGCCTGGTGTTTTTTTGCGCCCTCAGGGCTGACACGCGACGTTGCGGCGTCGGCAGGCTAAACATGGCCTCCCGCTGACCAGAGCATCCATGCCCAAACAATAACGTCTATTCTCGAGTGCGCCCGCTGACCAGAGCATCCATGCCCAAACCATAATAACATCCGGGTTTGAGTGCATGCAATGACATGGACCAGAGCATCCATGCCTAAACGTGCTCAACGTCCGTGTTCGAGTGCATACCAAGACCAGTGCGGCCGCTGACCACCGCATCCATGCCCAAACGGAGTGCATGGGAGGACCCAAACCCAGAAGGCGCGAAGCCCTAAAAGCACTAATGTTCTGCGATTGGGTCGTGCTCGCTTGCAATGGTCGCCCATTAAAAGGTTTTCTGCAAATCTGAGCCTCAAAAGTAGTTGGTTCCAAATCGCTGTTTCCTCTTTTGTAACGACTAGCAAGTCCCCATGCTACGGCGGATTCAACCCAGTTTAAGCCCAGGCGCTCTGGGGCACGCTAGCCGACTACTAGTAGTAGTAGTAGTAGTAGCAGCAGCAGCAGCAGGAGTAGTAGTAGTAGTAGAAGTAGTAGTAGCAGCAGCAGCAGCAGTAGCAGCAGTAGTGGCAGCAGCAGCAGTCGCGGTGGTAGCGGTAGTAACAGTAACCCATGTTCTGTTATGCAACAGTGTATTAATCTGTCGTTAGTTGTCCTGAAACGGTGTTTTCACTGCAGGAGTTCCATGAGATTGACAATTTTCTGCCTCCACGCCATGGACAAAGCCTTTTTTGGCAAGGACCGTTTTTTTAGTTTCCTGACCAGGAAATTGAGCAGCAGAACCCTGATGACTACATTACTATTGTAACATGAAATATCCCAAGCTCAACCAACGAAGTGCTGATTTTGAGAATTCACTGCCCGCGTTCTTCTTTGAGTTGATATCCGTGCTGGCTATGATGATAACGTTCGTGTTGCCAAAGGATGCGGTTACCACAGCATCCACGTTGGCCAAGATGATAGTAACGTCCATGTTGCTAAAGCATACGTACGGTTGCCAGAGCATCCATGCTGGCCAAGATAATAGCGTTCATGTTACCGGAGCATCCAGAGCAGCCATGTTGGCCAAGACAATAGCGTTCAGGGTAGCAAGAGCCAAGTTAAAAGGCATAAAGCTAGGGTGAGGGAAGTTCCACCCTGTCTTTGGTAGAAAAAATGTCAAATCACAATCCTAGGCCCTAGACCACGCCTTCTAAAACCGGGGGACAATCTTACCTACCTGCTCTACAACAGCTTGCCGTTTGCTCTCGCCATCATTGCGCTTGAGCATACAGCCGCGTTCCTGCTGCTGTTTGTTTCTGTACCTGTTGCTTGGGTTCGCGGTCTATACCGCCTTGTCTGTGGCCTGCAACTGCATACAGCATGCGCGCGTGTTGCTTCTGCTTGCTTGGAATCGCTTTTTTCCAGAACCACGCTGGTGCGGCATCGTGTGCTGCAACCGCTGCAAAATGCCTCAATGAACAAACAGCAATTTTTGTACATGGTCACGGGTGCGCGTCCAGATTCGCTGAACATGCAAAAGCCTCAAATCGTCTGAGAGGGTTGTTACTTCTGAAACCCCTTGTGAGGTGTGGCTTTGTCAAAACCAACCGTCAATTATCCGACCTTCGCGTAGTAATAGTAGTAGTGTTAGCAGCACTAGTAGCAGCAGTAGCAGCAGCAGTAGCAGTAGCAGTAGCAGTAGCATTAGCAGTAGCAGTAGCAGTAGCAGCAGTAGCAGCAGCAGCAGCAGTAGTAGTAGCAGCTCATAATGAAAATAGTCATGATAACACTGGTGTTGTTTCGACCATTATTATGATCCGCACTAC